GGGGTGAAGGGCAAGGGGTGAGGAGGGGTGAGGTGGGGTCTGCGAAAGAGGGGGGGGGAGGGGGAAAATGAGCACCCCCCCGGATTTTAGGGTCCAGGGTTTAGGGTTTAGGGTTTAGGGTTTTGGGTTTAGGGTTGAGTAATCAGGGTTTAGGGTTTAGGGCTTAGGGTTTAGGGTTTAGGGTTTAGGGTTTAGGGTTTAGGGTTCAGGGTTTAGGGTCCAGGGGCTAGGGTTTAGGGTGTAGGGTTCAGGGTTCAGGGTTCAGGGTGTAGGGTTGATAGTGTGGCCGACGGGCGGTTTCTTGGGCTACAGGGGCGGTTTCTTGGGTTTCTTGGGCGAAACCGCCTACAGGGGCGGTTTCTTGGGACACACGGGCAGTTTTTAGTAACAAACACCAGTTTTGATCGGGAATTGGGTGTTTCACTACACAAGGAACCTGTAAACTCTCTCCCGGGTCCCTCTGAGTGAATCCTGAGTCCCTCTAAGTGAATGCTGGGTCGTTTTGACTGAATCCTGAATCTTTCTGGTCGAATTCTGAGTTTTTCTGGGTAAATCCTGAGTTTTTCTGACTGAATCCTGAGTTTTTCTGGGTCAATCCTGGGTCTTTCTGGGTCAATCCTGAGTCTTTCTGACTAAATCCTGAGTCTTTCTGGGTGAATCCCGAGTCTTTCTGACTGAATCCTGAGTCTTTCTGGCTGAATCCTGAGTCTTTCTGGCTGAATCCTGAGTCTTGCAGGTTGGATCCTGAGTCTTGCAGTGTGAATCCTGAGTCATCCTGACTGAATCCTGAATCATCCTGACTGAATCCTGAGTAATCCTGACTGAATCCTGAGTCATCCTGATTGAATCCTGAGTCCTTCTGCCTGAATCCTGCCTGTATCCTGAGTCCTTCTGCCTGAATCCTGAGTCATCCTGACTGAATCCTGAGACAATCCTGAGCGCTGACTCTATCCTGGGGCCTGAAAACGTTGTGCTGAGACTCGTCAAAACTCTATCTTCTGGCGTGCAAACTCCATCCCGAAACCTGAAAAGTCTATCGTGAAGCCTGGACATGCAGACCTTTAGCCGGTTTCTGCCGCGATCCTCTGCACCTGGGGGCCTGAATGTGATCCGAAAGGAAGCATGGCCTTTCTACAGAACCAGTTCCGGTGTCCGCCTATGTTGGGAGCTCGAAGAACCTGAAGGACCTAAAGGACCTAAAGACACCAGTTTCAAGGCGGTTTTTATGTACTTCATTACACAATGTCCCACGTTTCCCGCAACATGGTAAGCATCACGAGGGAAATATCTGAGAGCCGGTACTTCTTCCCGTTCTCAACCTGGCCACAGACTGAAAAGATTTTATCTACAGGGCCCGTTGAGGAGGGGCAGGGCAGGACACGGCGCGCAAGCTCTATCACCCCGGGAAAGTGAGAATCGCCAGAATTCTTCTCATCTCGGAAGAAGGTCAGGTGGAATTGGTGCGCCTTCATAGTCGGGACCCTCCTCCTGACCATGCAGCCAGGCCATGGCCTGATGAGGGTCAGAATTCAGTGAGGACCATGGTTAGTGTGCACGTAGGGACAGAATGCTCAGGGGAGAAGGAGGGGGAGATGGAGGGCAGACGGCACACGAGAGTAGGGGGAGAGACATAGGGCAGGCGGCACATGAGAGGAGGGCGATAGATGGCCGGCAGGCGGCACGATTCGGGTCCCGCATCATCCTTGTTGGTGCCCTGACTTCCCGGTGGTGCCCCGCCCCCCGGTGGTTCCCCGGCCCCTGG